GCTCAAGGCTGGCTGGCTGCCCGCCTTCCTGGCTAGCAAAGAACGGCACTGCTTGTTCAATGATGCACTGAAGCGGCAGTGTGCAGTTAGTCGCTTTGGCGCGGCTTTTGGGCAACAAAGGCCGAAGCTGACGCCAGAGCACCTGCCATGATCTCCACCTTGCAGTCCATGCAATTGCGCATGCAGGCGCAGGGTCTCCTCGTCACAGGCCATTCAGATGAGCCGCAGGCCCTGCCACCGATTGCGTGGCTTGACGATCTTGTCCTCTGCGCAGAGGCCAACACTTCCGCTGACTTGATTGCAGCCACGCAGCAACTTGCTGACATTGCCGTGACCGAGTTCAGGCGCAAAGGCATGACGCTTAACAAGCAACATGGGAAAACAGAAGCGTGTCTCGCCTTAAGAGGTGTGGGGGCTCCAAAGGCCAGGAGGGACCTGCACGCCTTATGCAAGTCAGGCATGCCAATTCCAAGTGAAGAAAAGGGTGACAACGGACTCACGTTGCACATTGCGCCTTCTTACAAGCACTTAGGGGGAATCATCCACCCAGACGGTGATATGACCTTTGAAGTGCGACGCAAGGTTGCAATCGCCAACTCAGCTCTCTGTGATCTCCAGCTAGGCCCGCTCAAAAATTGCCAGCTTTCGCTTGTTGCAAGGGTCACGCTTGTAGAAACTATTGTGCTGAGTAAACTGTTTTTTGGTAGTGGTGTCTGGGGTCCACTGCAAAAGGCTGCGCACAAGGCCCTTGCCGCTTTCTACCAACGTGCATGCCGCGTTGCAGCCAAGCGCCTCCACACCGGCATTGACGCAGACGTGACACTAACGCAAGTGCTCAGTGAAGTGCAAATGCCTAGCCTGCAAACCCGGCTACGCAGGCAACGTCTCCTGCACGTCTTGCACATGCATCAGTCAGCCCCGCCGCAGCTACTAGCTCTGCTTGATGCCGAACACGAGCAAAAGCCAAACTCTTGGCTAGCCCTCGTTGTTGAGGATGTGGGGTGGATGCAAGCCAGATGTAAGAACAGCATGCCTGCCCTTCCTACAGCAAGCCTCACAGCGCAGCAGCTGCTTCTCTTCCTAGGTCAGCACCCTCAGCGTTGGAAGCATTGGATTTCCAAAGCCCTGCAAGCAGACATCCTGCAGACTGCAATGCTTTGTGATTACGCCTTGTGGCGCAAACGCTTCCAGCAACTCCTGCGCACTGGGGGCGTTCATGCCGACGCAGCATCAGGCGGGCCCCAGTGCCCCAGCCAGTCTTGGAAGTGCAGCGAATGCGTAGCCGCGTTTGACGAGCGCCGGCAGCTGGCTGCGCACCAAGCCCGCAAGCATGGTGCCAGGGCAGCCAATCTTGCCTTTTGTGCCACCACGCAGTGCCCTGTTTGTGTCACCGAGTTTTACCACACCAAGCGCTTGCAAGCCCACTACACGTCCGGCGTATCTCGCAAGCGAGACTGTTTGACGTGGGCTCAGGCCAACCTGATACCTGAGCCGCTTGACGCGATCACACGCATCGCGGAGCCAAGCTGGCTTAAGAGACACAAGCGCGTTCCGGGCACGAAGCTGCAAGGTCCCCAGCTGCCGACGCTGGAGGAAAGAGTTGAAAGCGATTGCCTGGGGCGGTACGCCGTGCTCCTCACATCTCCAGGACCGCCAGCGCCACCGGCCCCCCTGCAGCCGCCAGTTGCCTTGCCGCCGGCGCACGGCTCAAATGAGCATTGTGATGTGCCAGTTGCTTGCGCCGACCAGCTTGCTGCTTGGTTGTCTGCTCTCGAGCAGTGGTACCTTGATAGCGATTATTTCGCGCAGGCTTTTTGGTCAGCACTCGGAATGCCTTCACAAGGCGTAGCCAGTCTTCCGCCCAAACTGCAGTGCACCCTGGTGGAGCTCTTTCGCGCGCAAGAAACTTCTTTGATTACTGGGAAGACTTTGATGCCATAACTGTTGCTTCTAAGGAACTCCAGGATGCAGTTTCTGCTTTACCAGCCCATGTGCAACGCCCGCCGCAGCCAAGGCCGGAGGTCGCCTTGCCAGCCCACGCGAGTGGCGCAGCAGCCCGGCACAGCGGCAGTAGCAGTAGCCAACCGTCTTGGATAGTTTTCGCGCAGCGTGCAGCACAAATGCAGAGTGAAGATGAGCGCGCAAGCGTTTCCTTCCAACCAGCCACCGAACCAGCAGCCTGGCCTCGTCTAGGCCACTTGTTGCTCCGGCCAACCTTCTATGTGCTTCACCTTTTTGCAGGTAGGGCTTGCGAAGGTGACCTAGCCGCCCAAATTGCGGTTGCCACGCACCTTGAAGCTTTTGACGTATGTGTCATTGACATTGACATCGTCCGGTCAGAGGAGCAATGTGACCTGCGCCAGCCGCGCATCATTGAGGACCTAATCAGCAAAGCCGTTGCCGGGCGTTTTCTGGCTGTCAAGACAGGACCGCCCGTCAAAACTTGGCTGTCCGACCGTCAGCAAGTTGCCCAGCCCGGTTTGTGTAGGCCCTTGCGAACAGCGGACCAGCTGTTTGGCCGTCGTAACTTGCGTGAGCACGAGGAAGCGCAGCTTTGTGTAGCTAACAAACTCTTCTTCCACTCCACGCTTGTGTCTCTTGCTGTTGTCCTTTCAGGAGGTGCAGTGATACACGCGCGCCCTGCGCAGCCTAGCAATCCACGACATGCCAGCTCATGGCACGTGCCGCAGATTCGCTGGTGGCAGAAGCTCCCCTGCACCTTTTTCCGCATTGTGTGGCAGCAAGAGTTTGGGCAGGCGGCCCGGGAAGCTACTGGCTTGCTGTGCGCAAACTTGGCCAGCCTTGACGCACGTCTTACGGCCAATAAGCTTCCCAGATGTCAGTGGCCAATTTCACAACAGGCCACTGGCACGGATTTCCCGAAGAATATCACCAAAGCTTTTGCCGAGGCCTTTGCCGACCATGCCAGGGACTTGCACTTGCACAAGGCATGGCAGGAACCGGATGCAGGATTCCTTCGCTGGGCAACGCCCCGGCTGAGACGGGCGCACGGATCGTCCGCAGCTGCGAGAGAGAGAGAGAGAGAGAGAGAGAGAGAGAGAGAGAGAGAGAGAGAGAGAGAGAGAGGGGGGTCAACAGCAACCATTATGGGTCCAACTTCAGGCCCTCCAGCGTTCCACTTTTCGTCATCAGCTCTAGCGTGAAAGTCCAGATTCTAGTGTAGCTTTGAGAACGCGCTACCCTGCGGTGTTTGAGTCGCGTCTAGCTAACTGGCTAATTCATTGATTCGCCAGCCAGCTGACTGGCGACTTGGCGGCCTAGCTGACTAGCGAACTTGCTAACTAGGCGACTGGCTGAGTATCTACTTTGCTAACTCGCGGACTGGCCAGCGAACTATCAAATTATACAATAATCTAGCTAGACAACCGATTCGCGTCTACCTAAACAGCTAACTTGCTAACTAGCAACTGGCTAAACAATAGCGGATCCTAAACATCCAGCGGCAAAACAGCTCAATCATGTATATGCTAATTCCCTGAGTTCCTGGACTTTGGCCACGTTTTGGGAAGACCATGTTAATGGCAAATAACAAACATGGATTTTTGCTTGCCAATCCTCACAGGAAGTGAGTGTAGCCTAAGACGCATTTGCCAGAACCCAGACGGGTGACCCAAATGTAGGTGTCCTCTTGATACGCCACGGTGGTGACCAGAGAACCAGCTGAGAAGCGACTTGCAAGGTGTTGGCGCAGCTACAGCAGAGAGCCGACGCAGCTGCTGAGGACGGGCCGGCGTTTCTTCCAAATTGTCGCTGGCTAGAAAGACATGAAATCATGTTGTTGGATATGTGTGTTTATCAAAATCGGGGTCCGCAAAAATGGCGGGTCACCATCTTAGGTAATGGTGAGCGATTCGAAAAAAGTGTGACAATGGTTGAATCAAGGGGTCACAGAGGCTCACTGCTTGCGCCTGGCGCCCGATGTGAAGCTTCTGGCGACCAAAGTCACGAGCGCATGGGTTGAAAAATATTCCTGGCCCCCACGCGGAATGTTTTAGCGGCTTCCCCTGAGTGGTCATCCCTGGTAAAGAACCTTTTGATCAACCCCCCAACTGTCGTGTAGATCCGCCTCGCCTTCAGCATGCATTGCCTGAGTTTGAGAGAAGCTCTGTTGCCCACGCACGCTACGAATCCCCAGAATCAGCTTGAAGCACCCTTCGATCAAATGTGATTAATTACATTGATTGGGTTGGTGTTTATTCGGCAAACCGGGAGTGGTTTCTTGGCCTTCCTCTCAATAATTTCCATGTCGCTTTGTTGCTGAGATATCATTGATGCTTGCTGGTCATCAAGTACCAATCATTTAGAGGAGTTACTGTGGTTCAGCCTTGCTCGTGAAAAAGCTAGGATCCCAAATGGGGTAAACATGTGATGGTTTCTCAGTATCCGGAATTTCAGGCTCAAATCAGTCGGGCTTAGATCAGGAGGGTTTCCAAACACGAATTTGCTCACTGACAGCATATTTTTGCAAATATATTGTGATTACCTAAGAAAAGAGAGATGATATTATTTTTCTCAAGCCAATGTTTATGTTCATACTCAATAAGTTTTGCGTATCTTAGTTAAAAATTGTGTAACAATCATCTTTGTAGCTAGTCCACCAAATGCTCCAGGTTGGCCTCAGGCAGAGCTCGAACACAACTCTGAAAGCGCGGGCTGATATGCATCACCAACTGTCAATGAGTCAATTGAACCTTCTCCATGGTTGTTGTTGGGAATCACTTTTTTCATTGTTTGATATAGTTGTGGTTTAGTGGTTGAACTCCAACCACTTAACTGTTAAAATTTAAAATTTTGCTCCCCTTCCTTCCAACGTCAACCGGGTCTCAATGTGCCTATCAATGCGTGTCAATGTCATTGTAGCAACCAGCCAACCAGCCAGCGTCACTACTGCCCAGCTTTTCGCCCATCTCTACCAATGGTGACTTAACCAAGTTGCTAATTAATGGATAAGGTACAAGCCACTGCAGCTACCAATGCCACACTTGTGACTCAGTAGTGAAACAGTGCTGGCTCATGAGGCAAGTGTGTGAGTGTGCGCATGCAGTCTGGCAACATTTCATGGTCTGACTCACACTGACAATGTGACTCATCAACACTTTCGGAATTCATGCGTCCCCTTTTTTTCCTGTTCAAAGTTTAGCCAAGCCATTGGCCACGTAAAATAATAGGATTCAAGCAGGTGTCATGCCTTGTAACTCGAACCATGGGACTTCAAGCGTCGCCAAATTTCAACCTACTGCTGTCATTGAGCAGGGGGCAGGGGCGCGGCTAAGGGACTTACACTCACAGAAAGTCATTGCAACCTCATGGTCTAGTTCAGGCTTGATACAGCTCAATTCAAATTGAACAAATTAATTTTACTCAGGGGCCAAAATAGAGATCATGCGGATGCCGCTCTTTGATTCAGATTAGCAACTGACGCAACATGCCGCTCCATTCAGATTAGCCACTCACGCAAACAGTTCCAGTGACATGGCTGACATGCAAACGACAAATTCAACCATAGGCCCTGAAAATAACTATCGAAACATAATTCAGATCGCGTGAGGTCACAGTTGTGACAAGTAGCGTCTGGTAGCGAGGGTGCCCGGGGCCCGACTGCAGAGCATCCCTCATGCGCTGGTGAAGCTCCTCCCAGAACTCATACTGGTCCACCGTTGCCGAGTAGTTTGCCGCCGCCATTGCCGGCTGACACTGACAAAACTATGACAGCGACGACAATGCCGACGATGACAAACTCTGAGCCAAAATTCAACGGAGAACATGTCTCATGTGGTATCATGATCATTTGCAGCACTGACATGTCAATGAGCCAAGCGACTAACAAAGTCCACTCACTCACAATAAATCATCAATCAGGCTGGCCGCGCCTGCGGCTTCAAGTAATCGTAGTACAGAGGGACCAACTCTCACACTTCGCAAATCTGACAATGACATCTGACTATGTTTGAGGAAACAAAATATATGTTTCAACTATGAACCTATCACTAATAATATCAACAAGCTGAACTAGATGTACTTCCAAAGGTTATGACAAATATTATTATCAACAGATGATGTTTCCAATAAAGCCGTTATGCAACCGCATTACAATTGCACCCATCATTAATTAGAATCTCAGAAGCTACGCTGTGCTCACTCAAAGCATGAATTTGCAGGAAAAAAAAGGCTACATCTGCAAACATATGAGTTATGTTGCAAAAAACTGCAACACACAAAGATACTGTTGGGGTTGTCTTAAGAAACCATCCTGATCTAGACCCTCCCGATCTGGCCCTCTACTTATATTTGATGAGTTTCGGCTGATTCCATTGTAGTCCGTAGTGCAAACTGCGAGCGAGAGCGTTTCGGACACGGCTACAAACTGAGTCATTTTGTCTAGGACGCTACCATGAACACCGTGGGTTGTGTTATTTGGGCCTTTTGAAGGGCGCGCGTCGAGTATGCGGAAGCTGACCGAAAGGTTCTTTACATGGGATGACCATTGGGAAAACAACTACAAAGATTATATCTCCCACTACATGGGAAAAGTTACCCTTGGCCAAAAGTTACCCTTGGCCAGAAGTTAGCCTTGGCCATTTGGGGGGCCAGGAAAATTGATCAACCCACCATATGAGAGCCTGTTTTTGGAAGGTCCATGAAACTCGAAGCCTGGTTTGTTGCTCCGTCACAGCCAGGTGTTGCTCCTGGGGTGGGAACTCCCATTTGTGGTTGTCACATTTGGTGCAGTGTCCCTTTCAAAGATGCTGAGGTTTAAATGGGTTTTTTAGTGGTTTCCCCAATGGTCACCCCATGTAAAGGACCTTTTGATCAACCTCCACATACTGGATGTGCGCCCTTGAACATGCCAAATAACACAACTCACGTTGCTCATGGTGGCGTCCTAGCCAAAACGACTCTTCTTTTTCGCCTTAGGAGTCCCAAACCATCAAGAGCCGCTGCCAGTCGGCGGAGCAGGCGCGATTTCGCGTTTGCCGCAAGGCAAAGGGTTATAGGGGAGGGTTCCCCTTTAAACTCAACCAACCAAAAAAGGATGCCGATTTTTTTGCCCATGGCCACTGACCATGTGAGGTATATACGCAAGGCCCACTTAGTCACTCGAGACGAATTTCCTGGGATAAACCACCACCAAGCGGTGCAACATGTTTCATCCGCAGTATGAGGCTTGGTGAATATCCGATGTTGGCGGCGTTCGGATATGATGTCAGCGGGGTTGGCAGGGCATGTTTGCTTAGGACATGTCGAAAGACCATCGTAGAACCATCCTGCACTCACAATGTCAAAGGAACAGCGGTTCTTTATGGCTACTTAGTTTAATCTTTGGATGTAAGACTTGAACTTTTGGGTTGCACCAGGCCGAGTTTTCCAAATGGGCCCCACAACACGTGATTCACTTTTTTGCAGAGGAGTCTCGCCAGCAAGGGTTCCAAAAGATGTATGTCCCTGAGGTTTGGGGCATCCACCTTTTGGGCATCAAAGGAAAATGGTTCCTCCAGTCCACAATTCCTTCATATTGTCCGGTTGATTTCCCCTGTGGCTGAAAGTAGGTTTTACACATCCCCCTTTGTGCATCGTAAGGTGCTCCGTTGCCCACTGGAAGCTCCTTGCTCCCAAGCCGAAGGCTCTGGAGGAGATGCGCTGGGAGCTGCGCGCGGCCTTGAAGGCCGGAGGCATGGCGCACGAGTGCGCCTGGTTCGGGGCTTCATCGCTTCATAGCTTCATCTCAGTTGCCCAAAGCGAATCGACCGGATCTGACCTTTCGGTTTTCCAGTTTCGGGCCATTTTTAGTCATGGCCCCAAAAGGTGATCACCTTTTTATTTCTGGGTCCAAACTGGGCAAGTGAGTCAATTGGCTTCATTCCCCAACCCTCTCCCCTGCCACAAAAGCGGGCTCAGGGGAGGGGCACCGGTCAGGCGCGTGACTCCCAGGCAATGGCGGGTTTCTCGCTGCCTGAGTGGGACTTTGCTCACTTTTGGGGTGGACCAAATTTTGGTGGGCACAAAGCTCATGGACTAAGGATTCACTTTTTGGGTGTTGGACCAAATTTTAGTAGACAAAAAGTGCGGGGACTTTTGTTGGCCCATGAACTCAGCAAGTGAGGAGAGGGGTTCCATTTAAATTCGACCAACAAAAGATGTGTTTTTTTCCATGACCACTGGGGTATGGATATTGTTTGATCACAAGCATACATCTTTATGGCTATTGGGTTGGATCTTTCAACTTGAAATCCTGTTTGGTTGCAATCAAGTTGGTTTCAGAGTTGAACCCACAAAAAGCAAAACACTTTTTGGAGAGTGGTCGTTACAGCAACCAAGTCGGCGTGAAATGACAGGCGTAAGGATGGCTTTCAGCCCCCGTTGCTTCCCCAACATGGTGTTTTCCCCAAAACGTGTTCAAATTGTCCCGCAAGGAAACCGAAACTTTATCTCAAAAGGAACCACCATGCTGCTAATGCTATCCAACACAATATGTTGATGTTTTGCAACGCCAATCAGATAATTTATGATTGTGCCAACAGAAGACCAGAAGCCTATTTTCATGAAAAGGCACCACAAGGGCGCACAAGTGTGAGTGTTCCCGACCCAACAATCCTTCATCTTCCAAGGACTGCCTTTTTGAACCCACCCAGCACATAGTAAGCAACATGTTCTTGCCAGGTTTTGCCATGGATACTTGCCCCTTGTGGCATACCACAATGGCAACTGGAAGCACTGAAAGG